GACGCTCACATCGATTTTGTTTTTCGTTCGGTGGGCTGGTGCTCAGTGTAGCTTTTGCTCTCCGACATAGAAATCATTTGAATCTTCTTTCTACCTCTCTTTCTTTTCACACCACGCATAATGTAATGATAAAATTAGGAAAAAACGCTGAGGAAATATAATGTTTGGTTTGCTAGCGAGCGAGAACTGATTTGAGAATAATTGCACATGCGCGTGAATTGAATGAACTATGACCCGTACAATCTCGATTTGCATATTGTCAATCAAAGGTCCAGTTATTTGGTTACTCATGCAAATTAGGCAATTGGACATAAACATTGCCACGTGTGAGTGTTTTTTATTTTTAACCAGAAAATAAACAGCAATTTTAACGGTGTTCCAATAAGAATTCATTGGTCAAATTTTCACAGAATGTTCTTTAGATAAAAATCTATATAAAAAACGAAAAAAACTATTTTTGATTGAAATTCACAAATAAACTGCATCTCTACCTTAAAGATATATTTTATATAGAACCATGTACAGATGCACTTATAGGGCAAATATGGAAATATTCCATCTATCCTGTATTTGTACTGTTATTAGCACATGCATATATGTAATGACAAAGTTGTAAATGACAGAGTTCTGTTTACAGTCCAAAAGAACCTGTTCGATAAGGATGCATCTTACCTGAGTTATTTGCTGTACTTGTAATCATTGGTGGAGGTGGTATTATTGGCCCAAAAGGACCCATTAATGACCCTTCTCCTAAGCCTGTAAGTGGATGTAGTGGATATAGGGTTCCAATTGGCCACGGCGGTGCATCAGTTTTCTACATTGAAAAACAGAAAATAACATTTAGAATATGCAATACGAAAACAGCTGAGACTCTGTGTCGCAAGACAGAAGAAAAATGTTCACTGCTACAAAAGTTTGTGATTTTTCCTAAAATAATGCATTTCTTACGTATTTTATACTGCCCTAGAATCAACAAGTATTCTGGGGTCTATAATAAATATAGCACCAATATCCTGAACTTCAACTTCAACTTTCTGAGGAAACTAAAATTTCACACCAAAATTCCTAAAAATGCTTCGAACTAATTTAAATTGTGAAAGAACAATACAAGACCATCCAGACATACAGGTGGGCATCTAGGCAATCACGACTAGACCATAAATTTGATTGGTTCATTGAAAATCTAATGTTTTCCACTGCAGTATTGTCATTCCACTAGATGTCTCATATGCTGAAAATCTCAGCATGCAGCAATGAAACAAACCTGAGAATGGAGAATAATTTTACTTCTCACAATGTCTTTGTAGAATTTGAACCACTAATGACATCGAACAGGCATTGTATGCTTTGCATATTATACAGATCTCAGACCAAGAACATTACATCATATGCGTTGTAAAATTACCTGAATATTGCCAGAGTAATACAACCTAGGATATTATGTAACAGATATGCCTGAAAGTAACTCTGTATGTATTAGTGATATTTTGTTATTAAAATCAAAACTTGAAAAATAAGAGATACCAGTCCAACATATATAGGGTAATTTGATATGAAAAAGTTGCTTCAAAATACAATCAGTAAATGGCATGCATTACTTTCTAAAAATGCACATCAAAGTATGTCACGACATTAGATATTCATCTTTGACCTGACACTGCTAGAACAAATATGACCATTGCAGTTTTGAAATATTTTCTTCAATCGAAGGGCAATTATTCACAAACAGAGATGCTGAAGAAGAAGATGTCAACAACTTTACCTTTGGTGACTTAGTTTTCTTAGATCCCAATAAACTTGGATGTAAATAACCACTACCATCTGCATCACTTTCTTCATCTTCAGTACTAGCATCATCATCTTTTGATTTACGATGATTATCTGATCATAAAAGTGAGAAAAAGAAGCTTCAGCTTCACTAAAACAAAATCATGTATTAACATTTTCACCACCAAACTTTCTTGACCAAATTTTTCAGATCTGCACTTTTCTTATATTTTTCAATATTTCTGGAAATGAACCCTAATTAAGGAGCCAACAGACACAATTTGAGTAAATTTTCAGTTTTTACTAAAAAATTTGCCTTTTTTTGTCACAATCTTCTGAAGGAAAGTGTAGACTTTGAACAGGACTACTGTAAAATACTTTATTTAAGCTGGAATTAATTTTCCCTGAATAGACTTTTTGGCTGTTTTGTATGGAATTTATTTTCAACGATTTTTGATGAGTTGAATGTAAAATATAAGAAAAAAAGTATATCACTGGATTTTATTTTCACTGAATCATTCTTTCAGCGAAAATAGCGAAAATTTATTCCAAGCAAAAATAAACTATTCCACAGTATTATGTGAATTTTTCATAAAAAGAGGGAACTGGTGGTGAAAAGGCTAAAGTATGACTTCAAAAGCACAGACATTACTTTTCTGAGGCAAATGATTACCCCACTGTCACTCATACATGTATAATCCATACACTATTTGAAGAGATTTTAATACCAAAATCCCCCAAAACACATATTACTGTGATTTGGAGAGCCATTTTTAGCAAATAAGAAGTTTTAGCTAAGTGGAAATACAAACATAATTGATTGATTAGCATACCTTTTTCTTTATCCAGTTCATCAGATTTATCTTCTGACGCTTGTGGGATGTATGTGTATTTCCCTGATCTAATACATTTTAAAACAGTTTTGTAATATGGATTCAAGTAGTGATCAAAGGATAGAAATCCAAACTGTGAGTTATTAGCTTGCTTCGTTTTGAGTATAATCTCCATTTGTGTGCCATTTTTACTGACAAATAGGGCAGTCTTGGCAATGATAGCATGCGTCTTGGCAGTGGCAGGCTGAAACAAAACCAAAGACGAAACTAAATAAGTAAAGACTGAGTAAAGACTCAAGAAAGTGCAAGTTAAAGCACTTATATTTGTTTTCCTTAATCGGAAAGGGGGAAGGGGTTCTGTAAGTAGAAAAAAAAAAGCTACAAATACGGAAAGAAAGAAAACGAAGAGACTAAACCCTAAAATGCTACGCAAACTTGTTTTAACAATCTGAAGAGGACAGAAAACACTGAAAAAGCAAACATAAAAAACTTGAAAACCTTTTTGCATTGGAAGGTCCCTCACAAAACCAATGATGTGGGTCATTCCATTATAAAAATAGGGGTGAAGTAAGTATAACAGTATTGAGACTAGCTCACCTACACAGCCAGGTATGTTTATAAAGGGAGCTTACTTCTACCTGGTATGTGTCAATGCTCTCTTGTAGACTTCTTGCCATAACCAGGGAGTTAGTTTCCCTGGACAGAGTCAAGTCACAGGCGTGTTTCTTACAGGCGTGTATATCGCAGCAGTGGAAACACACAACCGATTATAACACCAAAAGTGAGATAACTTCTTTGAACAGTAATAAGTCATCTTCATGTCTTTTTCAGCACTCATCAGCGATTAATCCAGCAGATTTTTTTTGCATTTCAAGGAAAGTCACGCAGTTTATTTTTATTTAATACTACTGAGATGAACAAGAGTAGAAACACATCATGAGGCAGACGGAAAGCGATCATTATTATTTCAGCACGCTGGCATCTTCCTGTCTTCGTAGAAATTAACCTGTTGACCTAGATATACCTAAGACAATTAAGGGTGTGTGTTTGTGAAAATAAAGTTGGCTGTTCCTCCATTTCAACCCAGAAATAGTTATTTTCTTGATGTGAGTTTTAGATGGTGCTGAATGGAGCACTTTCCCAATCTGTTGTCAGTGTTGATAGGGAAACTCTGGAGAAACAGCCATCACTGTGTAGAAACAAAATAAAACAAATAATTCTTACCACTTCCACATCTTGGGGAATCTCTAACCCATTAGGTGGAACAAATGGTTCTTCATCAGGAACAGATGTACTTTCTTTTTCTGCAAAGAAAAAATAAAACATAGTAAACTTAAATGAGGGATTTCCCACCAAATTATTCGCCAACAAAAACTAATATTTTTTTTACTGATGAAGCAGGTTTCAGTCTGAATTCAAATTTTATTATCCTGTCTCAATTATTTATGCAGGGCATGTCCTGTATTAATGGTAGCGACCATGTTAATTATCCCATGGGTGTAAACAATGAAAACCACCTAAGAGTACCCAAGTGTCAAATGGTCATTAATATGGATAACATAATACAGTGTGAATATATACATCATTGGTTTATAAAATATCTGAAAAATTAAAATCCATGACAGTTTGAGAAGGTGCAGCAGCATCAGAGATCAAACATTAGTCAAACATTGGCCAATCATTGGCCAGTATACACCCAGCACAAAATTCTGGACCAAACATGTCATTTTCCATTAGAAAACTCATAGCATATTTAATCAGATTATTATTTTATTTCTAAAGAAGTCTGCAAATCTAACTATGTAGTAAACTTGGTTAAAATCCTTTTACAAAATAGGCTGAAATGGAAGAAATAATATGCAAATTAGCTACTTAATATGCATACATGGCCCTAATACCTGCACATTAACATCAAATCTCACTGTCAGCATTTGAACTGTTTTAAACAGTGTTCTATTTTTAGGAAGATATTGTAAATGTATTTAAGGTAGAAGCCTACTCATAATTTTTAGGAAAGCCGGTCATAAATCGTATGAAAATGTTCATTGGTTTATTATGTACAATCATAGAGCTATTGTCACATGACACTATGCAATAGCATTCTTTTGTGTGTTACAGTGACGAATTTTGAGAAACTTGTCCTAATATTTTTCAAAAATTGCTATTTTTAGAGCAATTCCATCATAGAGCACAATATTAAAAAATAATTAAATTTTTTGACACTTTTTTTAAACCCAGATTTTTGAAATAATTGAGGACAGAAAAAAGTATCCCACCATTCACAATACACAATTTTTTCTGCCTAAGTCACCAGTCTACAATTTGAGATATGGCATAATATCTCTGCCATAGGAACCTGTGGTAAAAGTACCATAATACTGCCAAAATGGCCATTAGCCACTAAAATACAACCATCATTTTCTCAAAAATTAAGCTGGTGAACCCCAACTTTTTTAAAGTCAATATTGTTATATTACCCGGAAGTACAATTTATTAGAAAATGAATAAATTCTGGGTATTTGAATTCGCGCGTGGGCTTCTACCTTAATGCTATTACTAGCAAATGAACAAGTATAATGTAAATTACTTTAATTAATTTGTTTACTTTATAAATCTTGGAAGATTGATGATTTTACTATGTGGGTTATACAGTATGACTGTCTATACATATACCTCAGGATGATCCCACACATGACCAGGTCATCTAAATGTCAGTGATAACCAGGCCAAGGTACATTATAATTAGATTCAACCACATGTTGTGGCAAATTAACATAGCACTAATACATTATTTGTATGCTTGGATGGAGAAATGCTGTTGTTTTTTTGTTGCCAGATGTTGGTTTTATATTAAGAGGCTTAAGTTCATGCTAACAAAGATATGTGAACATAATTTGAGTCTTCACAGAAATGCTGAATATGGTATTTTCTGATTGAGGAGATCTAAACAGATTAAAATAGATGTACATGTACAACAATAAACAACCCTTTATATAGTATTGGTGTAATATTGCTACTTTAATTTTCACTGCTAGAAATTTCCATGATTTTATGAATATTTGTTTACAGTATATTGAATTGCCATTGATTGTAAAGCATTTGTTTTGTTAGACAAATTGACAATGTGTCGTCAGATGGATTCATTTTGTTCTAGAATGGGTTTGCAGTGTTTCATCTAGGATGAAGCCATGAGGGAGGATTGTCCCCCTTTGGTGTAAAAATTGAGGGGGACTTCACGTTGTCAAGGGGGGAATGGAAATTGATGACAAAACAGATTTTGCTATTAACACAGGTTACGGGTATTGTATTTTTTATTAAAGTTGGGAGTAGAACGGTTAAGTATTATTAACATAATTGTACATGTCTATCTAAAACTGAGTGGATTCAAGACAATACTATATTGTACCAAATGACGTTGTAATATGCAAATACAGTAAACCTATCTGAAATGCACTGAAAATTATTATTACTTATTATTTACTAATAACTACAGTTCCTGTGCTGCATCATGGCTAAACAGTAATTGAATTTGTGCATGGTCAATAAAATATTTTCACCCTCATCAGTCAGAGTGACTTAATGAAAATATATTTGCTACACAATAAGCATAAAAGGAATTATGAATATCACGGGTAAGTATAATTAATGTTTAAATAACAATTTTCATGGACCAACTTAAGTTATAAAATTATTTAACTGACAAAAAAATTGGATAATAATAAACCATTAGTCAAACATTTATATTTATTGTATCAAATAAAAATAATTTCATTAAATTAGTATGGCAAACACAATATAAATTGTGATTACACAATATTATGAGATTTTTGAACCACTGATTTTTTATTTGCCTGCAATATCTAGGTAGAAATATGCTAATTTATCTTGTATCAAAAATGATTATCATTTTATTTTCAAATTTTCTCATTATGATGAAAATACTGAAACTCAACCAATTGTGTACCACTGTTGTGCTGATTTATTTGATCAATGCTCCAAAGCGGAGAAAAACAGTCAGCCAAACTGAACGAAACAAGCTGAACGGTTCAAACAAAAACAGAGCTGTAACATAGAACGAATCTTGGAATGATTGACAGGTGAACGTAAACACGCAAAAGTTTGCAACATTTTATCTTTTGATCGTGCCAACTAGAAATTTGGGCACGTTGAATTGGCAACGCAACCGGTCAAAACAAATTTATTCTTTCACAAATATGCGCCGCGATTTTTGGATTCTCCACTGGCGAAGCGATTCCTCATACTGTGGAATACATTATTTTCGATGGAATTAATTTTTGCTGAAATAGCTTTTTGGGTGTTTTGTATGGAATTTATTTTCACTGATTTTTGATGAGTTTAATGTGAAATATAGGAAAAAAAGTATATTCGCTGGATTTTATTTTCATGGAATCATCCCTTCAGCGAAAATGGCGAAAATAAATTCCAAGCGAAAATAAAGTATTTTACAGTAATCAAAATCCTTGAGTGGGAGGCCTTCAATCAGAATGGTCATCAGGCGATTTAATGTGCGCTCCTCAATTCTATTGCGTAGACACGTTTTGATTTTATTCTTGGCTGAGAATCCTCTCTCGCAAATAGCCGTGTTAACTGGCAGCGTAACGGCAATCTTTACTAAGGTGATCAAATTTGGCACTGTTTGACGGTGGTTGTTGTTTATGAGTTTCCACAACAATGATAGGTTATCACGTGGATAAGCTTGTTGTAGGACGAGCTTTTTCACAACGAACCATTCGTGTCGGGTCTCATCAGGGACAATGATCGGGTCGCAGGGCTTGCCTTGACTGTCGTACTTCGTCTCGCCATAATGACAAATCAGTACTTCGATTCTATCATTGCCGTTGTGGGAGAGTTCGTCAGCTGGTACGAATGACAGGTCACGCATTGCGAGAACATCAAATGCCGATACTAAACTGGTACTATCATTCGGAAAACGACTTTCGATGTTCTTGATAAGGTTGAGGAATTCGCGTTTGGTCTTTTCAACATAATCGACATGCTGACAATTTTGATCGAGCGGTCCTACAGCATTGTCAGTTTCTTCGTTTTGCGTTGCTTTCGTCGATTTCGTCTTCATTTCCATCGATGTTTTTCTTGAAAAACGTTGTTATAAGTCGACCCCTTTTCATGATATTGACGTAGTAAATAACTAGGATGCCGCACTGAAAACCAGGACACAGAACGTA